AAAACTTTGAGTGATCATAGAAGTCATTTACGAGAGGTACTTCAAGTTTTAAGAGACAATCAATTGTATGCCAAAGCTTCAAAATGTGAATTTGGCAAGTCAGAAGTAGATTACTTGGGTCATAGAGTTACAGCTACAGGAATCCAAGTGATGAGTGAGAAGATAGATGCCATTCAGAAATGGATAGCACCTGAGGATCAAAATCAATTGAAGAGTTTTCTAGGGCTCACTGGATTCTATCGTAGATTTGTGAAAGGTTTTGCTCGACTAGCTCAGGCCTTGACTTCCATGTTAGGGAAAGGTCAGAAATGGAGATGGGGAACAGCTCAAGAGTTAGCTTTTCAAGCATTGAAAGATGCTTTGTTACACGCACCTATTCTCAAGTGGTATGATCCTAACCGTTCTATCAAGTTGGCCACTGACGCATCAGGTACAACAGTAGGGGGCATACTTCAACAAGAATGGGAGGATGGATGGCATCCAGTTGCTTTCTATTCTCGAAAGTTGGTGGCGGCGGAACAAAATTATCACACGACAGAACGGGAGGAGTTAGCTATCGTGTTGGCAACCAAACATTGGAAGCATTATTTGGGTGATAAGGAGTTTGTGGTGGAGACTGATCATAAACCCTTGGTTTATTTGGAAACTCAGAAGGATCTGTCCAAACGACAAATTCGATGGGCAGAGTGGCGTCAACGCTTCAACATGAAGATTGTGTACGTGGAGGGAAAGAAGCAACTTGCAGATGCTCTCACACGCATGCCTTGTTTGAATCATGTTGCAGAAGTGAAAATTCAGGCGGATTGGTGGAGCAAGATGTCACAAGCCACAAAGGAGGATGAAGAGATCACTCGAGCACTACAAACTGGAAAGGCAGAGAAATCTCGAGGTTTGGCGTTTTACAATCAGCGTATATGGATTCCACAAGATCAGGATTTGCGCACAATGATTTTGGCAGAAAGTCATGATACAGCCATTGCAGGTCATGTGGGAGTGGAGAAAACCGTGGAGAGTATACAACGAGTGTACTATTGGCCCAAAATACGTGAGGATGTGGAGTCTTACGTTCGAAGTTGTGTTGCTTGTCAACAAAACAAGGCAAGTAATCAAAAACCAGCGGGTTTATTACAACCTCTTCCTATTCTCGAACAGCGGTGGGAACATGTCACCATGGATCTTGTATGTGAGTTACCAAGGATTTCGTTAGGACATGATTCAGTGGTGGTTTTTGTGGACAAATTGAACAAGATGATTCACATCAGGCCAACCACAAAAACAGTAACAGCTCCACAACTAGCTCAATTGTATCTAGATGCAGTTTTTGTGAATCATGGCTTAAGCAAAGTGTTAATCACGGATAGAGGTACTCACTTCACTAGTTTATTTTGGAAAACTTTGTTTAGTTTTTTCAAAACAAAACTAGCAATGTCAACGGCCTATCACCCTCAAACTGATGGACAAACTGAGAGGGCAAATAGAACCATAGAGGATATGCTACGAGCATTCACATTAGAAGAGCAAGAAGAGTGGGACAACCTTTTGCCACTTGTGGAATTTGCATATAACAATTCTGTTAATGCATCCACAAAAGTGTCTCCATTTTTTCTTATGTATGGAGCTCATCCGATAACTCCTTCAAGTTTGATGAGACTTCCGAAAGGAGAGGAGTTTTCGACCAAAGTTGCAGCAGTCAACGAATTCGTGGAGCATATTCACCGAGGACTACATCAGGCCAAGGAGAAGTTGGTGATAGCTCAAAATCGGCAAAAGCAGCATGCCGATGCTCATCGTAGAGAAGTGATTTTTGAGGTTGGAGATCATGTTTGGTTATCTACAACGAATTTGTCTCTTGTAGGAACACCAAAGTTAAACCCTAGGTTCATTGGTCCATTTTTGGTTTTGAAGCGTGTTGGTGAAGTGTCATACAAGTTGGAACTTCCGTCACATATGAAAATACATCCAGTATTTCATGTGTCACGATTGCGAAAACATGTACCACGACCAAAACAATTCACCAACCAACCAGCACCACCTCCTCTTCCAACCTTGATAGCAGATCATGAGGAGTTTGAGGTAGAAAAGATACTCAAGAAACGTATTCGAGGTCATAAATATCCCAAAGTAGAGTATTTGATTCAATGGAAAGGCTATCCATCGTATGAATCAACTTGGGAACCAGCTAAAAATTTAGCAAATGCACCTTTGATAGTTCAGGAGTTTGAACGTATGTGCAACGAGGACGTTGCATCTTAAAAGGAGGGAGGTTTGTAACCATCTTTAGTTAGTTAGAACTAAAGTAGAGGTTACTCTGAATATTGATGTAGATACTTTAGTGTGCACTAGTCATAGCTGCCACGTCAGCGATCCGCGCACTTGGTAGGTACAGAGTGGATGTGTTAGTTGACAGTGCCACGTCAGCAATCCGTGTGCTTGTAGCTAAGGATTGAGTGTGTTAGTTAGTGTGTTAGTTGGGTGTGCCACGTCAGCGATCCGTGTGCTTGTTAGGGTTATCCGCCACGTCATCCATCCACTAGGAGTGGTATGGATGGTGGGGATTAGATCTTATCACCTTGTACTTGTTGGTGAGAGCTATATAAGGGAGAGGAGAACCATTGTTGGTATCGCTCATCTTCAGAGTTTACGTTTCTATCTTCGAGTGAACTTCTCTCTAAACCCTAGTGTTACATCGGAGCCGGCGGCGGGTCGCGAAGAGGTTAGATGCCTTCCTGGCGAGGTCGCGTGACACCATTGAGAACCTCGAGGCAGAAGTGACTGCGGTGTTGCGGCGGCTGGGATTGTGTAGTAGAGCCGAGGACTGGTCTGGTAGAGATGTAGTGCGCGGTCGGCCTTCGCACATGAGACATAGCAGATGACATGCACTGTAGTGCAGCGTAGTGTAGTGTAGTGTAGAGTGTTAGTTAGGATCTTAGAAGGTATAAAGTAGTTCAAGGCGTCTTGCCTTGGGATTCTTCCAGTTTCGGAAGTGCAGATCAGGAACTCAATTTCTCTGCGTGTTTGTGTCCTTAGTTTTGTCACCACGCAAGAGTATCTACAGCTTGACGAAGATACCGCATTTTGTAGCTGAAGGCCTTCGGCCGAATGTTCAGAGCTAGTATACTGGTTAGATACTTGAGCAGTTTGGATCCACACCTACGGGTGATTGTTGAATGCTCAGAGCTAGTAACTGGTTAGATACTTGAGTAGTTCGTCCTTACACCTTCGGATGATTGTTCCTGTTTGTACTCCTTCGGGATGTTTCCCCTGAATGCCAAAGTGAAGTTTTGTTACTTCGAGTAAGCCTTGGTTGTAAATTCAGGCCAAGGCGCCGTCCAAGGCGCCCGACCTCGGCCTAAGCCCCCAACTCCTAGATTCTCCAAGACCCGCGATTCTCCCTTTTAACTCTATTTTACGTACCCATCTGCTTCTCACGCTTGTACATTCGACATTCATGACAACGCCGACTTCTGCCGTCAGAAATCTTCTTCCACATGGCACTCTTCAACCGAAGGAACTCTTCAACGCCTTTGCCTATCCATATCAGTCACTTTCGACACTCATAACTCAGTGATCCCTTATCCGTTTCAAGAGTTCTTGGGCTCGTTAGAACGAACGTGTCAAGTTCTATATATCAAGACCCTAACTAAGTCAAGGCGTTACGAATTGTGAAAGTTATGAGGAATTTACTCTTCTGCCAAAGGCACTCAAAGCGGGTCCTGCAGCATGAACCGCCCGTTCCGTCCAAGACGCCCGACTGTGGCCTAAGCCCAAAACCCCTAGACTGACCTCGATTCCCCTAGATCCCGAGATTTTCTTTTGACTCTGTTTTTGCGTATTGATTATTATTTACAACTGCTACCGCGGTACTTATTATTCAAAAATGTTTTAATTCTGAAAAAAAATAAAAACTGGCTTACCACAATTATATTCTCCAAGCATTTAAAAAAACGACTTAATATAATGATTACCTTGGATAATTGTATTATCTAGAAATATTTTATTTGAATAGAATATTCGACGAATGAGTATTTTGAAATATTAAAGTTTACAGTGTTTGCAAACCATTCACTGTTATAGCTAAAGTATATCAAACAAATAAACGAAATTACGTATTTTAAAATTTGCATATGCAAATCAAGAAATTCCAAAACAACATTTCATTTGATGAGTTTCTAAAGTTTCAATTGGGTTTGTGTCATAATATACAATTGTAGATCCTTTAGGTTGTGAAAATGGTCATTGACCTTGATGTTTTGAAATCTATAATCGTTTTTAAAGTTAACGATAGATTTATTGTTGCACAAAAAATTGATAATATCAATGCACTATAAGAGTTGAAAAGTTGAAAAATAAAATCAAAGGTACTCAAATTTTTTCAGATATGAATGAGTTTTAAGAATGAAAACAAAATCCTAAAATCAGAGTCAGATATATTTAGAGTAGATTATGAGTGATGAAAAATGAATATCAACATATTCAAAGCTTAAAAGTCGTTGTTATGCATAAAATGATTCTTTATTAAATATACAAGTAAATAACATGCATGTAGAAGTTTATGCATATGACTGAGATTTTTAAGTGCTCAATAGGACATAATCTTTTTAATAATGAGAATTCATGAATAAAATTTTATTTTAATATGTTTTTTTCATGATACTTGAATATATAGATATAAAGAAACTTTGACATTATATGTTTACCATATGTGTATTTTCAAAATTTTTGTGTTAGTTGATTAAAAGCTGTCGATTTTATTTCTCAAAAATGAAATTATTGATTTTGCTTGAATCAATATGATTAATGATGTGTGATGCATAATTACGCATTCATTGGTTTTGTCTAATTTTAATTTGATTGATTTGATGACTTATTATTATTTGTAAGTGTTAAATAATATATATGCATTTAAAACTATAAATGGAAGTTGTATCATTAATGATACAAATTATTTACAACCAATTCATATCATGGAGTTCTTGTAGAAGAAGAGGAAATGGAGAAACTCTTATATAAATTTTACGAAACTTGTCGACTTTAAAGGCTAGATCTCTCGATGAAATCCAGACTAAGAGCAAATACGCCATCGCATCATACAGCTATGTATTTATACCTTCGAACATATCCAATCCAGATCTCGTTGATCTACATATCTAGCACAATCATCGTGGTAAGGCTCCAGAGAATTATTGCCTCGTAGCTATGACTGTCCACAGAACTATGATGCTCACAGCGTTCTTGTCTTCCCAGCAGTCTTAGGCTTGAAAGTCGCGCCATGAGATCGGAGCCAGTCCACTTTCTCGGCATTTGAAAGATTCTTCAGCTTTGAGTATAATCTAGCATTCTCCCAACCATTGAGAATCCAGCTCCCGTTGTAGGTCTTGGGGATGAAAACGACTCCACTAGGCACTGGGGGCTTCCTCTTACATACAGGTTTCACTGGTTTAGGTGGAGTGCTGCAGCCTCCGTACCAGTATGCCGAATTAGCCGTACCCGCGAGGTTGTCCATCGTGTAACAAATATCGCCGGCGAAGTCAGCTGTAGGTGTACCAGTGCAATTTCTGTTCTTGAAGACCCGGGTACGCCCGCAATTTCCAGCACCAACAACTTGAATAGAACCTCGCCAAACACCTTCTCTGAGACAGATTTCTTGATCAAATCCAATGTAAAAATTTCCAGACCCTGAGCAGTCATTCCTTTCATAAAATATTATCTGAACATCGTTCTGACCTGCCACCATGGTCGACAAGCTCAGAAGAGCCATCTGCATGCCCAGAGCACAGACGCGCATTGCGCTCCACCTATCCATCTTCTCTGAGTGCTGCAGCAATCAAAGCAACCAGACATCAAACAATCTGGAATCGAAGTTTGATGCTCTTTGTCTTGCGTCATTCGAGAATTCCAACTGCAGGAAAGAGCAGGGTCGTCTGCGTTCTCAACACTGAGTCGATCTCAGTAAGCTGTTATGAATACATTGTTTGATATTTAAGCTTAAATTAGACTAATCACTCAAACTTTCGAACGTGTAGATTTTCGAAAAGCAGTCTCTAGGTTCGAAGCAATCAAAGCAATTCAGACCTTCAGCAATATGTCGACAAACTGTGAAAGCAATGTGAAACATTGCCATGAGCTCAGAATGAAATAATTTGAACTCACAGATAAGTACAAGCAGGATCTAAGACTTTACTTCTAGAGAGCGGTTCATACAAAGTCTGAACAGAAATTACCTTGAAAACAAGTCTCGGACCAGTCTTGCCACACCTTGTCGGTATATGCAATGAACCAAAAGTAGAAGACAAACTGTAAAGTATGGCGGATCCGTTGATCTTATATACTTCAGCAATCAGTTGAGACCAGCGTACGCCGAGGTTGACTTGCCCACGCAACATACCTTGCGTAGATGAAACTATTGTTCTTTGTTCCAAGATATCTGTAGAGTAAAACATCAGTTTGCATGACATACCATTCACGTTCGGAACGGTTTTCTGTCACGTTACAGAATGTGAGTGCTCGTTTATCATTCTCAGCTGGACGACTACCACTATTGTGATCTTCTTCATTTGTTCCATCCACTGGTCATCATGTCATCGAGAATGTCGTACACAAGTTGAAATATGGAAACAGGATTATGGATATGAAATTGGTGATGAACATTCAAGGAACTTGGCTGTGTGCGCTATCGCTATTCATAATGTAGCAGCATGCAGATACATGGAAGAACACGGGAGCCTTGGAGTTTTCCACAACCATTGCAGAGTTGTGGAAGCAGCAACATGTATTATTTGAATCTTGATGGAAAGGCAAATTAAGAGGGATTCTCTTACTGGGCCACCATAATTTGCAGGTTAATTCTGATCTCACTCAATGGGAGATATATAGAAAATTAGAGCGATTTTGTGAACTTCCGAAGCCTGTTCACCTTTCATCGTACGATTCCTCTTCCTAGCATGTTTCCAACATCATCAGGCATATTGAGGCAATTTGCACTTCCAATTGGGATGGCGAAGTAATGAGTATTTCTTTTTGTTTATCTCTTCATCATGTTAAGCTTTGAAGTTTTTCCTCATTCACATAGTACGCACGTAGGAGCCAAATATTCACGTTGATGTTTACGCTTTCGGATGTTTTTTCAGTAAAATTTCATGTTTTTCGCTGATCTTCACTGCATGGAAACAGAAATTTTGATATTCCCGTAAGTCTCGTCATTGGCTTTTGAGATTACCAAAAGCCAACAGTGTTAAACATGTGTTCCCTTGAGACAATATCTATGAGTCAGCCCACAGCAGCAGTCGGAATGAGCAGATTCAGGTTGTCAAATTTTTTCACTCACAGAGCACGTTCTTGCCATGACCTGCCAAGTCAACTCAACTCTTCTGCATGCAACGAGTTTGTGATGGAGGTAAGGAAGAAAGATTGCTCAAGGCAAGTGCTGCTATAGTAATCGAAAACGAGGATAATAATTTTGATTTGCAACGAAGACAATAGATTGTCGGTGCCGTTCAGATTGCTACAAGAACCGTGGAACAAGCACAGTGATGAGATGTACCACAACTTTGCACAATCTTACAGGGAAGTTGGCCTATCAATTTAGGTCTATCCTAAATCTGTTGCGATAGACATCACAAAAACTTTAATAGAGGATTATCTTAACATTTCAGAGTATTTCAAATATCACTATCAACCTTCCGGGGTGGACTGGAAATAAGAGCGTATAAACCTTCACCTAACTTGTCAATTGCCAACCATACATAGACGGCAAAATCCAACCTCCAACAGTGAGCTGAATATTCATATATTTCTTTCAATAACGACTGTCAAGTAAACTATAAGTCCGCTTTTATGTAAAATCAATGAACTGGTGAATAGCATGTCTAACCAACTAGGCGTACGTGGAATAACACCGATACTTCCATCTCCAGATCTATGAAGATGAAATTTTTTTTACCTTTTCATAGATCTTCCTTCTCATTTGAAAAACCAAGTTTCTTATAGATCTATATTTCCAGAGCATACGTACTAAAAATATCATATTTTCGCAACAGAGGACCATCTTGATTCATTGTTATCATTTCATTTTGGAGAGTTACATACAACGTACTGCAGTTCGCAGGCGAGCTTGGGACAGGTCTTAGATGTGAAAGTGAAAGTGAAATTACCTCTTGCCCAAGTAAATGACTACACTGAGCAGTATTCCTGATAAAATCCCAAAACTCTAGCAAGAATGGTGATCAATGCAAGGGAGGATGAGACCGAATAGTTCATGATCATGATTCACTTTCGTGGCTACTATTCTTCTCTCTACAGCGAAGTCACGGGTAACTTCCATAAAGAGGCTCACAACTACCATAGCCTCAGATTCACTGTCCGAATGTGATGGACATGCATGCATGCATGCTAGGTAATGGGCTCAGACACTGAACTCAGCCAAATGTGTGGCATCATGAGGCATGACCTACGAGCTTAGCATTGTCTGTAAAGCAAAAAACTTTGAAATGGATTGAGCAGAAGTGCACAATTCTGCCGTTTATTCGGGAGAAAAGTAAGCAAGATTCACAATCAGGACGGCGATAAGTTCGTAGAGAAACCCTAAACCCTAAACTACTCGGTAGTCATTAGGATCGTCCTACATGCGAATAAAATACAAATATACGACTAGTGACAGATTTTCTTTCATATATCTGATTTAGTAACTACTAGAATCTAAATATTGCCCTAGGAACCATAATAGCATCGATATGGCTAATTTGTACATTTGGAACTCTTGATGAATGCGAGGATCAAGAGGTTTTGGATGCCTCCGTTAGCATCGGTACTTCCAAAAGTATTGAATTGTGGAACGGGACTGAAAAAGAAAAACCAATGCATAGATGAAATGTGTAGCAAACAGCGCTGCGATGCCTCAGTCTTACCGAACAATATTCGTGGAGATGATGAAGAGAAGAATTGTAACCATCTTTCGATCCTAGGGTTTAAAAGTGTTGTATTTAAGGTCAAACTTGGGGCTTTATGTCCTGCGCGGATATCGTCGCACTTCCTGCTCGAGCTGCGATGTGAGCAGTAAGCCCACGAACTGGTGAGGAAGTCTATCAGCTGCTAATTCTGATACTGAGAGTAGTTCAGCTCAGCATCGCACTCTAGGCACTTTAGGTATCACTACACGACACATGCAGAGCACAAATGATCCCTTGAGTAGGATTGTTCTGAATCTCAGGTGTACTGTTGGGATCCTCCGACAAAAGGTAGGGGGCATTAGCTGGTTTGTGCCGTTGCGTTGAACAGACGGAGCTGTGTCACTAGCAGCTGAGGGAGTCAAAACATTACCACCGCTTTCTGAAAGTTTCGGCATTCTGTCAGCCTTAATCCGAAAGATCCAGTAATTGGTCATCCTTACAGTGACAATTCAGAATCTCTTGTCAAAGATTGCCAAACGCTCCGTCGGTCGTCCGATTTCCATCTCTATGTGCATGTGCTAAGTGTTAGCTGCCATTTTTCCTCTAATTGTTCCTTACACGATTATTGAGCAGTTTCAGACTTACAGTCACAGGAAATTTAGCTTCACCTTTTAAGGCTCGTTCTTGATTTGGAAATCATATCATGAACAAATGCACGTTGAATATTCCAAAGGAATGTTCGACGTAATATTATTTCTAGGTCACGAACGAGCTTGAAAAAGTGGAGGTTAATGTCCTGTGACTGTAAGTCTGAAACCTAGATCCTGCTAAATAATCATGTGAGGAGCAATTCCGAGAAAGGAGACTAATATGTTGTTCGACTAAAATTTTTAAGCAGAAGGGAAAGTAACACAACCTCAGGACCTGCATTGAGAAATATTTTTTTCAAGCTTAGTGATTGTTGGTAAGAAGAAACAAAACATGATGTACTGATACTCTGCTCATAAATCTGGGATTGCGAAGGAGGAATCAGCACTCATCATCGAAAGATTGCGCAATCAGTAAATGTTGATGAATCAAAGGTGTCATGTTCAATACCAGGCTGCAAGCTACCGTACGAACCCGAGGTTGCCTTCTCTACAGATTTCTCTAGAAAATCTTCCGCAAGAAGCATGCCAAGCAAAACAGCCCTGGCCGGCCCCATGGGTGAGCCCTAATAGACGGACTATCAACAAGGGACAATTTGATACTCGGATCCGTACAGATCACCCGTGACTAGGATCATATCCTGATGATGGAACACACTTGCCAAGAACGTGCATGTGATGGCAAGCAAGGAAATCTTCACAGAGATTGAATTTTTTTCTTCATCCAGCCTCAAAATTGGACTACAGGAGGAGTTTCTTGTGAGTGTGGAGCGTTGTTGGATGACGAAGGCTTTAAGAACATATGTAAATGGATTTGAAATAGAAACTTATATTCCGTGATATATGTCACAGATGCAATATATTTATAAATAACTTTATAAATATACGTATATAAACTTATTTATTTATTGATATCTAGAGAACATAGCTATTATTTAGATACGCAAAGGATTTTCTACATCCAGATAAATTAATCTCTTTGGTAAACGCATCTCTAGATAATAGAGATCAGTGGGTAGAGCTCTGTGAGTTTTGTACGTATACCAGAATTTTGGTATCAAAGTCAACGACTTGCTGCAGATGCTCGTGAACCAAGTACGTACGTCAGATGACATGAAACTGATGTCCATGCCAGCGATACTGAGAACAGAACAAAACAGTTAGTTATTTTTTAATAGTCTGTCACAAATCTCGCAATCGACTTAGATGAAATGTACGTATCGAGCTCGAACACGACAGTTTTAACAATGAATGAAACTGCACCAAACTGCACCAAGTCATTCTTCCAGAAAGTGGAGAGGGTGATACTCAACCGATGTTATAGATGGCATATCCATAGTGTTAACATTCTTGCATATTCAGTTTCATTCTACTGCGCTGCATCTTGATTAGCATGAACTGTTAACTGTTGCTTTCTCGTGACTGATTCCGCTGTTTAAAAAAGCTCGACATTTTAAATACAATAATCAGGTTTGAAGAACTTTCGAAGAAGGAAAAGGATTATTCAGAAGCACTTGTTGGACGAGGACTGTGAACAGCTGACGTACCAAGAAGGTGAAATTGGGCACTAGTTAAAGATTTGTTGCGTCACGTTTGAGTCAGTGAAAGTCTCTAAATCCCAAAAATAAGTGAATTCCGTGTTTACATTCTACAGTGATATCACGGGTTATATACATCCAATAACGTACGCTAAACTCCTCACAACTGAAAGAACTCAAACATGAAGAGCGTGCAGGCCAAATATATCTTAAAACAAGTTAGTGCAATCAGACGTGCAGATGCATAGTGAAAGATGAGGCACTGTCACTTCACTGAAAGGCTTTTTAGTTTTGAACGTCAGTATAAAGGTCGGTTTGTGTTTGTGGGTTGATATCTCAGTCTTCAGGCTCCTCAGTATCTACTCAAGCGCAGCTTGAGTGACATTGATTGCTTGGGACGGAGTTTGAGTTTCGCAAAAGTAGAGTATCCAGTGAGAGGTGTCGTCCTACTTGTGAGATAAATTTATAAATATTCTTAGCTTGTCTGATTTCCTTCCAGTCACGGACTTGGAGCTAGTACCTAGACAGAATCTAAATACAGATACATAAATTTAAATCTTTCAATGGGGTCGAAATGCCTGGTCTGGGCATTTGGAACGCTTCTCTTGTTGGCAGCCACAGCTGACGCCCAGCTTTCTACCACATTCTACAACTCCAGATGCAGAAATTTGACTGCCAAGGTTGATGAGATCATCCGAAGGACCATAAGGAGGGACAGGACACTGGCTCCAGCTCTTCTTCGTTTGCACTTCCACGATTGCTTCGTCCGGGTTAGTTACTCAGTCTTATGTTTTCTTCAGAATAGCATCGTTATCGAAATTAGAACGTCTCGATTTCAAAAGTCTTAATTGGAAGATGCAGCTGTTCTTAGCCCTGATCCTTCAGTGAGGGGACTAACTATCAAAACATGTGCTCTTAATTTGCCCTGAAAAACTGCGTGTGTATCTATCCTGCAGGGTTGTGACGCTTCTGTTTTATTGAACAGCCCTCGTGGTGGTCAAGGGGAGAAGGAAGCAATAGGAAACAAAGATTCCCTCCGTGGCTTTCAGGTTATCGACGATGTTAAGAATCAAATTGAAGCGATGTGCCCTGGTGTCGTCTCCTGCGCTGACATTCTTGCTCTTTCTGCCCGAGACTCAATGCGCGCTGTAAGATCAATTACCTGAGCAGCCTTTCAAGCTTGTTCTCTATTTTGACCTTTGCTGCAATAGTTTAGGAGTTAAAAAACACAATAACAGTTTGGAGTCCCTGGACAGTACAAGGTGACAGTTGAACATGTTTTATACAAAATAACCTGATGACGACGTTTTCGATAGTTTGGAGGTATCACCTGGAGCGTCCCATTGGGCAGAAGAGATGGAATAGTTACATCCGCTGCTGAAGCCAACCGAGACTTACCACCGCCGTTTGCAAACTTCAACACTCTGTCAACTTTATTCAACGGCAAGGGTCTTTCCGATAAGGACATGGTCATTCTTTCAGGTACATATCTGGCTCCTCTCGATTGGCCATCACCTGTACTAGCAATTGTTGTACTAGTACAATTTATCCATTAAACTGACCGCTTATCCTCTAGATGGCTAGGTAGTTAGACAGTCGCAATGAATCAGTCCAGTGATTCTGAACTTTCCTCCGATATTCAGGTGAAAGGTTAAGATTCAGAATTGAGAGAAGAATATGGAAATTTAAGATAAGATCTGAGAAGATTTATCATAATCCTGTGTATCTCATTGCAACTCCAATGCGATGTACACTTAGTGCTGCATGCTCTGACAGCAGCACTAAGTGTACATCGCATGGTTTGAATGAAGATCTAATCAGCTTCTTTTCTGGTAACTTCAGGTGCGCATACTGTTGGTTTTGCACGCTGCGCTAGCATGCAAACACGCTTGTACAGCTTCTCGGCAGCCAATCCCACAGATCCAACAATCGATCCTACATTCGCCGCTCAGTTGAAGAGGCAGTGTCCTCAAGGCGACAATACCACACTCATCCTCAATGACCAGACAAAGCCTAGTGATACTTGGGACTTCAACTACTATTCCAACGTCCTCAGGAGCAAGTCTCTGTTCGGCTCGGACGATGCAATGAAGAGAAATGCTGCAGCTCGCAAAATTGTCCTTACTCAGAACAAACCAGGTTCACCTTTCAGCGCAGAATTTGCGAACGCGATGGAAAAAATGGGAAGGATTGGCGTGCTGACAGGCAGGACCGGGCAGATCCGGAAGATATGCACACAAACAAATTAGTATTAGATGGCGATTCATCTGCTAATTGCTATCCAAGATTCACGATGTTCGATTCATTTAGTTGTGCCAGCGCTGAGGTGCATTCACATTCGACTCTTTCACATTTTCTTGAGATTTCTTCAGAATCTCCCTTGACCAATAAGAAATAAATCGGTTCAGAGACTCCAGGTTCAAAGCCAGATGATGTGACACGTCAAGCTTCTGTGCCCACATCGCTTTCTCTTTTATTGTGATCTTCTCGTTTGGAATGCTCTGCTGTTGCCTTCACAAACTTATATTGTAACTTTGATTTCAAGCAAAATATGACACCATTTTCCAGCTAGTGCGGAAGATCCGGGTCAGAGCAATGTGTTTGGACCCCATCTTATGGCAAGCACTGTATGCTTAGTAGCAGACCCTCTAAAGATGATGTTGCTTCTCATATAGAAATCTTTAAAGATTTCTATATAAGAAAAAGAAAAAATGCTTTTCTATCTAAATCCTTATAGAATAGATAAAGAATGGACAATTCTTTAAAGATAAATCTTTATATAATATAGAAAAGCAAGCTGCGTTCACCTTCCCATAAGGGACTGGCACGCATGCTTATATAATAGAAACATGGGGCAAGGATTGTCGAATAATTGGCAAGACAGTCTCTGAGATATCTGGATAAGATGGGCACCCTTAAGCTGATGAGGCTAAAAGTAATGAAACGGGGCCCATATAGATGACAAAGAAGGATGGGGAGACCCCATGAAGGCAGGTCTTTACTTCGAAGACATGATAAACCGTAAGTTCGTATTATATGTTTTTGGCTCTCTTTGATAACTAGGTAGATAAGATCGGAGCTGATCACTCTTACAGGAGGGATCTGGCTAAAAGTGGCCTTTTATGCAGCCATCTACGCACTCCTCGTTGAAGTTGTGATAACAATCATCTCTAGGTACTTTTCATATACCTCACAGTCCAGTCGGTGCCTAAACTCCATGATGGTATTCATGAGCTGCAGAAAAGCGAAGAGATTATCTGCGTTAAAAATCCATTCTTATTAATGTTTGCCGTACTTTAGTTCCACAAACATGTATTAAGTATGTCAAAGGTCGCTGATCCAATATATTTTCCTACACCTTTGGAGTTGGTCTGTCCAAAAACTTCAAAGAGGCTGAAGCAGTGGGTCGTGGGAAACTCTTCTGGGAGTTGGAAAGAGTCCAATTTTCGCTCCCTTGTATCTTCTACCTCTTCTACAAATCGACTTTCAACGACCTGTCACAATGACTTGGAGGTGCATATTATTTCCAACGATGAACATTGACATTGTGCTTTACATGAATTCACTTCCACGGGTCTATAAGCATCAACAGAGGCTCACGCAACCACAAACGTTTACAAAGATAAATTCGATTTCGGATCTGGTCGGCTTTCACCAGAGAATAATCAACGCTACAGTATATTTTCTATCACAGACTGCAGCAGTGAGATTTGGAATCTTAGATTTTATGAAAATTGAATTGACTAATAAAGTCTTTCGAATAAGTAAAAAGAACCCTATTATTTGTAAGTTGGTAGGATACAACAATTTTTACGAATATTCAAGCAACCACACTTTTCAATTCCACAAAGTCACACCAAATTTCGATCGATAGACAAAAAACAAGTTTGAAACTCACCACCCCAAGCATTACTTTCGTTTCCAAATTTAGCTTTCGCTTCTGAACTGGATAAAGGACCAGTATATGGATGCCGCTCACCGAACTTCTAGAGCTTACATATGCAGACTTCACGTCAATATCTTAGCACAATTTGAGCAGCAATTTTGGTTACTCTTTCCACCTGTATCCAGCTACGGAAAACAAGATGGAGTGACTGTCCCAAAAATCGCCTTTAATAATGGCAGAAAATAAGAACAGGTGTCCACTAATCTTTTACAACAAGTGGATTTTTGTGATTTAAAGCCATCTACTTGGGACATATGTGCTAGCTTACTCTACAGTGACCTCACGGGTTCCGCACATTATACACTTAAAAAGGTGGTCCTCGTATTTCTCATAGAAACGTGAGGAGCATGCATGCATGCCATATACGATATTCAACGAGAAAAGCGGAACGTTTGAAGGCAATGTTGAGGCACCATCTTTGCACTGCGAGGGTTTTGGGGCCAAAATTTCCCTACAAAAGCTAGAACGTCCGTCTGCAATATCACCTCAGTCTTCAAGTCTCTGATACTCTCCTCAACATTCATTGAGTGAGACTGGACTTGGGACGGGGATTCTTCGGCAGAGCTAGCCCAAACAATATTTAGAGCCACCCACATGCTTGTGATACACAAAAGACAAAAGTCGATTGACAGCTTTTGTTCATCATCCTTTCTGTTGGCAGCCGTTGGGTTAAACATCTTTCATGATGTATACCAAGATGTCGTCACAATGGCTGCTTTGGACCTTTGGAGCCTTTCTATTAGCACTTACAGTCGATGCCCAGCTTTCTACCACCTTTTACAGCTCTAGTTGCCGAAATTTGACGGCCAGGGTAGATGAGATTATTCGAGGACACATCAGGAGGGATAGAACACTGGCTCCCTCTCTGCTTCGCCTTCACTTCCACGACTGCTTCGTTCGGGTACGTCATCTATATCGTCCATCAATGCGTGCATCATGCAATCATGTTATATGATTTGGTAACAAGAAGTCCCACTTTTTACAACACCGTTGGGGTAGTGGTGATTGTGATTAGTGCTCAACAATACCACTATAGGTCCTGAAGATTTCGTTCCAGGGAGTTCTTATTTCTGATTCTTCTCTTTTCGGAATCTAAAGCCCGTCAAATGTAATGTACGCGCTTGTTTTGCACAGGGTTGTGACGCCTCAGTTTTATTGAATAGTCCTCGTGGCGCTCAAGGGGAGAAGGACGCCATTGGCAACAAGGACTCACTTCGGGGTTTTGAGATCATCGACGATGTTAAGACGAAAATCGAAGCCATGTGCCCTGGCGTGGTATCATGCGCTGACCTGCTTGCTCTTTCAGCCCGAGACTCGATGCGAGCGGTAATGAAGCAATTTTCGTGCAGCACCTTGTAGACTACTGTAATTCGTAACTTCTTTATTTGTTGCTAGGAATATTCGGGTGATATTTAACCGAATCAGTTGCAGAGAGTTATGATGAGCATGGCTGATTACCTCTTGGAATGGAGTGATGGTCATATGTTTAGTAATTATCAAATGATTAACTGCAAGTGGAAACTCCGGTGCAGTTTGGTAATATCACCTGGAGCGTACCACTGGGTCGAAGAGATGGGACTGTGACATCGGCTAGCGAAGCAAATAGTGATTTGCCACCGCCGTTCGGAACCTTCAGTTCGTTGTCAGCTATCTTCAGAAGGAAAGGGCTTACAGTCAAGGATATGGTCATCCTTTCAGGTGCTTGCTTGTTTCTAAGAGAAGCACTCTACTGATTTTCTCAGTCCAAACTTTGAGCCGTTGATTCAAGATTAGGACATAGATTCACAAAGTAGTCTTACAGAAAAGATCTCAGAAGCATGGAATGTAAGCAGTGCAGGAGAGTGGTCGAAATTTGCTTCTAGATGTGTATGACTGGATGAGAATTCCCTCATCTAATTCTATTATTCAGCAATGAGTTACCACATCGGCATACAGCTGCTTGATAAACTAGAATGTTTCTTCTGACGCGAGTGCTTGTTGATGAATGCAGGAGCCCATACCGTAGGCACTGCACGCTGCGCCAGCATGCAGACGCGTCTGTACAGCTTCTCGTCAGCTAACCCCACAGATCCAACTCTCGATCCTACTTTCGCGTCTCAATTGAAGAGGCAGTGCCCGCAAGGTGACAACACCACACTAATCCGCAACGATCAGACAAAGCCTACTGACACTTGGGACTTCAACTACTATTCCAACGTGCTGAGGAGCAAAGGGCTCTTCGGTTCAGATGATGCGATGAAAAGAAATCCAGCAGCTCGAAAAATTGTACTCACTCAGAACAAACCAGGATCACCTTTTAGTGCAGAATTCGCAAAAGCTATGGAGAAGATGGGAAGGATTGGCGTACTTACAAGTAGGCAAGGGCAGATTCGTAGGACATGCACAAGAACGAATTAGGTGCCAGATGTAACACTGAACCACTCTGCTGATATTTACCGATTATTGTAGGTTTTCCACTATCTTAGCTTACCTTGAGTGCTGTGCTCACCACACTCCGGCTCTGAGCTCAAAGCCCTTAGAGATGTTTCAGAATCTCCCATGAGGAATAAGAATTGACAAATAAAGAGACACGTACAGAGAATCTTTGTTCGACCTCAAAGCAAGCTGATACTTAGCCTCCATATTCGACGTGCTTATAGTCTTCTCAGCCTTGGGAGTGCGTGTCAGAGGTCTGTAGCTAATTATCTTTTATTACTTTGGCAGTTGCTGAGATACTTAAATACGTTGGGGAAGACCAGAGTCCAAACATTGACGAATAATGATGAGGACGAGTCGGATAGTGTGTTTCTTCTCACCACATCTATTACATAGTAGGCTCTTTTTGGTCTCAAAATGATCATCGTCTCTTCCTCTGTCATTCTTTCTCTTTCGACAAAGTTACCCTACGTAGAGAACAATACCACCAAGCACTGAGATGAAGTGCAGGATCTACTGGCTTATTGGCGACCTGGAAGTCCATAGTTGAAAAACATTTACATGTCCACTTCACTTACCTCGGTATATTTCCTGCTTCGCCTTCTGTTACTATTTCCCTAACGACTACCCTTCGTGTTGACCTCTTTCAAATCAGTAAACATTGGATCTGTCCTTTCACAAGAATTCTCTGTAATAGAGAACGACAAGTCATCTCGATCACCCATAAATTCAAGGGACCTTTCAGTCACCGAGAACGTCCATTTATACTAACTTTTTTGTCATGAGACGAAAATTCGTTAAATCATCCGCCCATAACGGAATGGAATATTATGGAATCTTTTGTATACTTGTTCCAAAGTGAGGTGATATCATAGAAGTTGAATTTGTGATTGCCAGTTATTGCTTTCTAAACAGTAATTCAAATAACATTGTAATTAATGATCCATCTAACTTGTAAAATTTCTAATAAAAAATGTCAAAAAATTTATTTTCTTGTTTTTAATTGTCAGTGTGTATTTTAGAAGAAAAAATTTTTATTGCAACGCCTTCCTTCTAAAAAAAAATTTTTATTTTTTTTTATAGCCTGATTGGAATTAGTTTTTAATATTTCACAAACATACTTTTTTTCAATTTGTAAATAAATATATGCAACAACAATTCCTTTTTTTGGGTTTTAAAAACAATCGCTGTAAACATTGAATCAA